TGTTCAAATTATATTATCTTCTTCTATATAACCTTTTATATTAGAACTATATTTTACCTGATACCTTAATCTATTTTTATAAGTTTCAATAATTTCTAAAATCATAAACTTTTGAGTCTTTCTTTATCTTTTCAATGATTAATTTTATTTATTTTCAATATTTTTTAGGTAATTTATTTTTATATATTTTCTTATGATCTCTCAAGCTCTGATACCAACGGGATGATGCTACTATGAGCGAACAAAAATCTAATAATCTAATAATCACAAATCTAAAAATCTATTATTCTAATATTCTAAAAATTCTTTTATTTTTGTTTTAGTTAATTTATTTGTTATTAAGCGTATATAAATTCTTAAGGTAACGTTAAAAACTAATTTTTTATATACTTGTGGTAATCTATTTTTTATTGGTCTTCTCATAAATTATTAAGTAATTCTTCAAAATCTAGTAATGTCTGAGAATTTATAATATCAATATCTATTATCATATCTATTTCTGTTCTACAAGGTATATCGTATTTTAAGATATTTTTCTTCCTTTTTTCTAATTTATCTATGATACCTTGTATATCTTTTATGATTATTGATCTTACAATTCCTTTAACAAAATTTTCTAATAAGTTTTCTTTGAAACACTTTAATATTTCTTGTGATACATATAATTATTCTTGATATCCTATCTTATCAATTTCTTTTTCAAACTTAATTTCTTTTTTACTTTTAACAACCTTTTTTATATTATATGGTCCGCTCTTATATTTGGGTTTTTTCATTTTATAATTATTCATTAATAATTTTTTCAAATTTTTAGAAAAATTACTTTTTAATTTTTTAAGGACTTAGATAGAAGATTTTCATTATGAAATATGTTGTTCTTAATATTTGTTTAAGGGTATTTTAGGTAGTTCCAGATGTCTGGAAAAGTCAAGGGCCATTTTGGAAAATGACCTATCTTATTTGGGTCAATTTCATGTATTTCCCGGAATTGGATTAGTGGCTACTTAGCTAACGAGAATTGGATTCCCCCAAGTGAGTTTGTAAATGGGGAAATTGCAGCAATGCGAGATTTGGATTCAAAATCTCAGAAGTTGTATCGATTGATTGTCCCCTTTTTGTTGAAATACCATCATCAGATTGGACACCTGGATTGTGGGAGTCGACCGATGATAGTTCGCGATGGTGGATGTGGTCGGAGGAGGAGTTGTCGACAGTTTTTGAGTTCTCTAGTTGGGGGTTTTGTGGTCATTTCAACGACATATGGTAGATTTAGGGTTGGTGGTTGGAAAGGATGTGTAGAGGGGAATGAAGGGGTTTTCGATGATGTGTGGGGCCGATAGTTTGGGAGTTGGCGCCAACGATGAGAGGCTGTGCCGGCAGTTGGTAATGTTGATGGTTTTATTTCTTTTCTCTTTTTTTTTGTTTTATTTTATTTTGTTTTACTTTATTTACGGTTTTTAAAATTATTTTATGTATAAAATAGCAAAGTAAGCATTTTACCTATTTCAATTTGGTTAAAATTAGTCAAAGTCTATTTTGTTAGTCAACTAACGGTCAAATGGACCCAGTGCTAATTTTTCAAAAGTTAAGAACCTTTGTTGGTATAAGTTGAAGGTTATGATAAAGTTTGCAAAAAAAAAAAAAAAAGATTAGGGATCGTTGGTGCACTTTTTTCCTAAAATTATGGATGCGTGTACAAAAATTATTCAAGAGAATACGTGGTTAAAAATAAATTTAAAAAAATGAAATTTGAAAAATCTGTCCAAAGGTGGACTAAGATTTTGCACGGAAGCCTTCTTATTTAATTTTGTTAATGTTTGGGGGAAATTAAAATTATTTTTTTTAGCATATTTTAATAAAAACTAGTAGTAAGCACGTGCGTTGCAAGTTTTATGTATCGGACAAATGACATGCCTAATATTTTTAAGTACTACTGATGTTTTTGAAAGTAATTGATGTAATTAATATTATTAAAGGAAAAATTAAAATTGTTAAAAAATATGTATATGAATAACACGTTTTACGAGATTATGTATATAATGTGAAAGGTTTAATAAATTGAAATGCAATATTTCATTTGAATAAAAAAAATTTTGTGTTGGAAAAAGTTAGAATTGCATAAATTATATTCAAATAACATACATTTTATGTGCATAAAATAGTTTAGAATTTTGACTTACCAGAATCAAATATGTAAAGTAGGAACAAGAAATGCATGAATATGAATTTGGTCGACGCAAGAGTTTGACTTTTTGTTCTTAAGACAATGATTCTCCGCACTGGTGCTGATGGTCTCCCGACACTCATCTTCCAAGATACAACACCATGTTTCGCAATAGAAGTGCTCCAAATTACGCAGATCAATGAACTTACTTATGTTTTGAACCCCTTTTTATATGAAACTCGACTCCAAATAAATGCAGAACTTTTTAATTGAATGTGCATTAGTATGAAAATGCAAAAATGAAGTGAATTAATGAAAACAAACACATGGGGTCGATGTATAGATATTGAAAAAATTTGTCTCAAAAGACACAACCTATGAGAGAGACACGACTATTGGAATTAGTATCTACATTTGAAGAGACATATCTTTTGGAAAATGATAATTCCAGAAGTCACAATCTTTCATATAGAAAGATGCATTTTTCAACCAAATAATTTTTAGAATATTCCATAATATTCTACATAATTTCCCAATAATTCACGTATTTAAGTTATTTAAATTTGGTTTAATTTTCTATTCACCAAATAACAACTTCCACTTAAATAATTAAGAATTGGTCAAAATCAATTTCACACACAAAATTCCCACACTTTGTACACAATATTTTTTGTCAATATCCTACAACTTTTTCTTCTTTTTATTTTCTATTTTTAATAATTTATCAAGACTTTTGTAGTCTACATTGAAACTCCACAAAAAAAGTGTGAGATATAATTGTCCATAAAATAATACATGTTCAGAAATGGATATTCTAATAGTAAGCATTGCTTGTCCTTAAACTTTATAAATGATAATTACAAGTGTAGATGTATTAAAATTTGTTCTCTCTTAAATTTGAATAAATATGGTATTTTAATAGTAAGCATTGCTTGTCCTTAAACTTTTTAAATGATAATTACAAGTATAGATGCATTGAAAATTGTTCTATCTTAAATTTGAATAAATATCCTTCAACATTTATTTGAGTTAACGAGATGCGCATAAAATTGATTTGTATTTAAATTCTGACAAAAGATAAAAATTAAAATAAAATATGAAACGAAATTACTAAAAAGAACATACGTGAAGGATGAAAAACTAAAATAATCAAATATTGAATTAAACTGACAATAAGTAACATGTCAAAAAATAACTAAATTATATCGCTTATACAAATAAATGGCATAAAGTTGAACTTTTATCCATGCTGCTTTATTTTGAATTACAACTTCAAATACATTATAAAATATTTACTTTAATGTAACAAAGTTCTTATCTGATTTGTTTGAATATAAATATGTCAAATTAAATTTAAAAAGTAAGTATATGTACATGTGAATATTAAAACACAAAAATCGATGTATAATTTATATTCATTAAATATATTCAAAATCATAAAATATAAAAAGTTATACCTTATTTAATTTGTCGAAAGTAGTGATACATTTAGTCTCTTGCTTTAGTTTGCCTAAATTCAAGTGAACATATTTGATTCATTTCAATTTGACTCGTGTATGTATCATTGGAGACATGCATCTCATTTCCAATAATCCTATAAAAGTCAAAAGGAGATAATAATAAAAAATTATAAAAATAATTGGTAAGAACTTAAAATGAAAAGCTAGTTTTCTAAAAATGCTTTGCAAATAGTATAATAACGACAAAAGAAATTATAATTTAAACAAAGTTATTAAGTCAAATTTAAAATCTTTAGTGTTTAATGATGTTATTATTTTTAATAATATTTATATATAACAAAATAAAACTTTTGAAATGCCTACAAAATTTTAAGATATCAAAATATTTAGGTAAACCAGATTTTTTTTTTTTTTTTAACGGTTATGTTTTTATTTTCAATGAAATCTTTTAGGAATGTCTTTTAGCCCCCGTTTGGCCTCTATTAAATTTCATTACATTACATTTTATTTTTTTCTCTTTTATTTTCAACCACACAATCTATCATAAAATAATATTACACTTAAATCGAAAATTTTTCATTCTTTTTCAACTACTCATTTTTCAAAAAAATATTATTCCATTTTTCTCATTTCTAGAAAATGGGGGTCAAACGGGGGCTTAATCTATAATATTAGGTTTTAAAAAATTTAAGTGTATACATAATTTTATTGTTTTTATAAATCTTATATATTAATATTAATTGATTTAATAGTCTATGCCATTTTATGTTAATTATGTATGTGGTATTGTTATAATTTTTATTTTGTTTTTATATAAGTTTTTATTTATCGTATACTAATAATTAGTAATAACAGTTTTTAATGAAAATTATTTGACTTAATTTAAAAGATAAATAATTTTAATTTTAATAATAATTGAATTTAGTTGAAATAAATTTAATTTTAAGGGTACTATTGACCATAAATATAAAAATATAAGGCTAAAATGGAAAAATAAAGACATGAGGATATATTGGATTTAAAGTTAAATATATAATGGTAAGATTGATAATCAAAAGTTTCTTCTCAATCCCCACTTTTAATATATTGTAAATTAATAAAATATGTAGTGAAAAAGTTATGAATTTCATAAAATACATGATAATATTAATTATTGACTTTAACTCAAATTAAGAGTGTTTGATACTTTTTTATGGAAAATGAATTTTGAAATAATAGATTAATGAAGAATATGTGGATAAAAAATAAATTTATTTTATTTACGTATAATATTATTTTAATGAAAAATGATCGATTAAAAAGAAAAAAAAGAAAAGAAAAAAGGTATTTTGATAAATCATCACTTCCGACTTCAAAATCAGTCTCTCTCTCTCTCTCTCTCTCTCTCACACTCACACACACACACACACACACACACACACACAAGAAATAGCTCTAGCATCGATTCATCGATCAAATTCTAGGGTTAACTGGAATATTTTCATGCTCCTGATTCCTATTCTTGAGTTGATAATTCGTTGTTAATATTTTTTTCTCCAATTAGATTAAAGCATTTCATTTATAGCAGAGAAGATGGGGAGTCCGGAGAAGAACCAAAGCGATGGAGGTTTCTTCTCAACCATGACGTCAATGTTCAGCAACGCCATGCATAGATCTGTCAGTGGGTATAAGTTATAACTATTTGTAAGCAAAATTAGGTTTTATAGGATATTAGTTGTCAGATTGATTAGGAAAGTCCAAGTAAAATGCATTTGGGTGTTATCTGCAATAATACTTAGCCGCCATTGGTCTGGTAAAAAATCAGATTTTTTAGTAGATTTTGATAAAAGTTAATGAAATGTGTGTTCAAAAAATTGATAAAAGACGTGGGTCTATAAATTGTATGGTTGAAAACGAGTTTGGGGGAAAATGTGTTATTGCCAAAGAGTGGTTGAGTCAAATGGATTTTGGTAACATTAAAAGTTTTGACTCAGATATAGTACTATATGTTGAATTGAGATTTAGCTGCATCGTTTTCAGATTGTTTTGCAGTTGATGGGTGCTGCTACATGTAGTATGTTGAAATGGTTTTTGTGAATTTAACTTAGGAAAAGATGATTTTCTCACACAAGGATGGGTGATATAGTATGTGATATATTGCTGTGTGCATTTTGTGCATAATAATTGTTCCATTCTTAGAATGCTTAATGCAGGTCTAACAAAAGTCTAGAATGTGATGTTTTTGCTTTAAGGTAAAGAACTGTTGGAAACAGCATCGTGGATAACACTGTAGGACTGCCTCCATACTGTTGAAACTCAGTTATATTTTTTCTTTTTTCTATGCAGTCCTGTAAATAAATCAAGCTGAGACAAGTTTATGGTTGTCGTGATCTGCTTTATTCAGGAAAAGTGGTGGGACGAGGACTCGGATTATGAGGAATCCTAATTAAACTACATTATTTTTCAAGCACAATATAATATTTAAAAAAAAAAAGTCATATAAAAAAAATTCTCAAACTTCAGTGGGGGCCAGTGATCACCTCCCTCCACCACTGTTCAGGAAGGACTTTCAAGCTCTGCTTGGATTTACTGATAATACAAAGAATGCATGTTCATGTCTAGCACTATCCTGGTCTTTGTAGTGACTAGTGAGTAAATATAAACTCAAACCTCATGTTCTTAAATAAGCAAATTGGGGCTCATGGATACAATTATCCATGATATTAGCAACTAAAATAATCATATTACCAAGCACAAAATAATATTTAAAAAAAAAAAGTCATATAAAAAAAATTCTCAAACTTCAGTGGGGGCCAGTGATCACCTCCCTCCACCACTGTTCAGGAAGGACTTTCAAGCTCTGCTTGGATTTACTGATAATACAAAGAATGCATGTTCATGTCTAGCACTATCCTGGTCTTTGTAGTGACTAGTGAGTAAATATAAACTCAAACCTCATGTTCTTAAATAAGCAAATTGGGGCTCATGGATACAATTATCCATGATATTAGCAACTAAAATAATCATATTACCAAGAGGTAATGACTTCTAAAATAAGACTTAATATAAAATAATGCTCAGTCTCCGTATTTTCCTTTACTATTTTGAGGAAAAAATATTAATAAAAGAAGTTCTATACAATCCATATGAGCTATTCATGAATGGCTTGGTTCATCTGCAATCCTGGATGTGTTACATCATGATTGTAAGATTGAGCGAAATTCTATGAAGATTGTAGAGTATAGGGATTAGGAGGAATCATTGGTGGCACTCTTAGCTAGACTGTTCATCAGAACAGTGTTATGCCACTTTATATAAACTTCTTATGAGAGAATGAATTTTTATCCTTTTTATATGTATTTAGGGTGAATTACATTTACTCCTGTACAACTATACCCCCGTCTAAAACTTTTCCTTCTAGTGTCGGAGTTGGAGGTTTTCACTTCTCCCCCTTGACAAACAGTTGAAGTGTTGAACATAACAAAAGATTGATCTATTAATATCATAATTTTTGAATTGGATTGTCGGTTAAAATGTGCATTAAGTCTCAAGTCCAACAGGAGAAAGTGTTGCACAAAGTAGAGTTCAAAAAGAAATATCTGAAATCTAACAACACGAGACAAAGCAAAATGTTACTCTTTCTCAAATTTATGTCATACACGCAATAGGCGTTTGTTCTACCACTTCATTTTTCTTTAGGCCTGAGCACCTTTATATATAATTTAGCTAAGAGGGATGAGAAAACGGGTTGATGTTTTTCCTAAAACTCATCAATGGATAATTTCTCAAATATAATAAATACAAGTTTGTTTATAGTAATAGCAGGCTTCCAAGAAATGACCTGGTTTCCCAGCATTTTATTGAGTAACTAACTTTATCTTTAAATGAGTGGTTGAGCACAAAACATTTGGTTTGGGTTTCTAAAAGTAATTTCCTATTTTATATGGTATTTAAAATATATGACTTTGTATTTGCCTTTTCAGGATATTCCTTTTAAACGGCCTTATTTTATGCCATTTTCCTTTTTTTTTTTTTTTTTTTTTTTTTATTATTATCAATGATCGCTTACTTTATTGTGTCATCTAATTATGTTCTCCTCTGTACTTAACTCTTACTGTATGTTGACGGGAAATTATTTTTTGCCTATTAAATGCTTGGTTTTGGTTAAATTTCCATTCTATCTAATAAATTTCTAAGACAGCTATTATTGAGTTCACTTCAATATAGATAATCAGTGACATTGTTTTGTCCTCTTGTATATATAGTGATGTCACGTGTCAACTTTTTTAACAAATATATATACTTTGCTTCCCTACCTCTAGATTGCTTGGTTACGAAGGTGTTGAAGTTATAAATCCAGAAGGAGGTAAAGAAGATGCTGTAGAGGAAGCCCAGAGAGGAAGATGGAAGCAGGAGGTATATTATAGTGCTATCATGTGCCTCTTTTTTTTTGGCAATGTATTTTCTTCAAAATAATGCCATACATATACTGATAGAAAAGGAAGTGTTTATGATAGAAATTCAGTTATAGAACTTATTGAAAAGGTAAGACAGCTCAGAACCTTTGATTTCTTAGATAAATTGAAAAAGATTACGAGGGTGTTTGGGAGTGATTTTTCACCCAAAAAAATTGATTTTTTTATCGTTATTTCACTATTCCAGCGATAAATTTTGACTTCTTCTCTCATATGTGGCCCCACTTTTCTCCTAACGATTTTCAAAACCTCTCCCAAACGGGGCCTAATATATTTTTATAATGAGATTCACATTTTGTGGTGGTGAAGTTTTCTGAATGTTGATAAAAAATGCCTCTCTGAAAAATTTGGTTGAAGTTTTAGTTTGTCTAGTTTGTTATACATGAAGTACAAAAGTGATAAATCATCAATTGGTGCACGTTTTCTTGGTCCTTGGCCAGTAATTGTCGATTCAATGGTACTAGAAAATGCAGATTGATTTTTTATTAACAAGTTCGGGAATGACACATTTACTGGACAATAATATCCCTAAAAGTATTCAGTATATAAAATGATGGAGTGTCCCTGTGAAATATTTGGATAAAGCAGGAAAAACACCTAGATATCTGGGAATAGACCAGTTATGTTGCAATGAAATAATATAAATTTGTATAGACAGGAAGCACTTGTTAGGTGAGGAGGGAACAGAAAGGAAAAGAGAATGTCATGTTGAAAACATTCTTTCTTGTCCTCGCTGTACTCTTTCAATGCCACGCCTTCCCTTCTGGCTGGAATGCAAGTTTATTGCACAATAACATTATATTAGCTTCATATTGTTTGAGTTCACTTGTTCTATGCATGGTTGATCACCCTTTTATGTTTTAAATTAACTTAAGTTGATTGTTGCATATAAATATGTAAAACGAGAATCTATTTGTTTTTCAAAGGATCGAGACAGCTACTGGAAGATAATGCAAAAATATATTGGTTCTGATGTTACATCCATGGTGACACTTCCTGTTCTCATATTTGAGCCAATGACAATGGTTCAAAAAGTGGCGGAGGTTTGTGATATCTTCTTTGCATACTGTTTCTGCTAGTATAATGTTAGGCTGTTTACACCATACCTCTAATAATGTTAATTATGCAATCTTCATGGCAGTTAATGGAATATTCTCACCTTTTAGATCAAGCAGATGAATGCGAGGACCCATACTTGCGGTTGGTGTATGCATGTAAGTATTTCCTGAATTAATTAAACACGAGATCTTTTTGATAATATAAAATTTTGAGGGAAGTGATATGATGCACTAAGGGAGTTTTTATTTTTATTTTTTGATATAGCATCATGGGCAATATCTGTTTACCATGCATTCCAACGTACCTGGAAGCCTTTCAATCCAATTCTTGGAGAGACTTATGAAATGTTTAACCATGGTGGGATTACATTAGTTGTGGAACAGGTGAATCAATTGCTTATTGGAATTTGGTTTTCTGCTTTGCTTTACCCTACTTATTTTATCCCTTGTTCTGTATCCTGATACATATCAAGAATTCTTTTACCTGAACTAAAACCAAGTAATATGGGAGCAGAAGATTGAACTTCTCTTGAGGACTCACAGAAAATTTTATCTATAAAGGACTTCACTTCCAAAGATTTTATAGGTTTGATGCATTTTGCAGGTGAGCCATCATCCTCCTATGAGTGCCGGACATGCTGAAAATGAGCATTTTACTTATGATGTGACTTCTAAGTTGAAAACGAAATTCTTAGGGAACTCTCTTGACATCTATCCTGTTGGAAGGTATATTTTGGTGTGAAGGTTTTTTTGGTTGATCTTGACTATTACTTTTCTCATACCATGTTTTCTGAGCTGATTAGTGGCTTTAAGCCATTCCAATTCAAATGTACCGTCTTAATTGATTCAACTTTTTTCAATATTGTGATCTTGCTTATTTGTCTATTACTTTTTATAAACAGAATTACAGTCTAGTTATGCATTCTTGACACAGGACTCGCGTGACTCTTAAAAGCGATGGTGTTGTCCTGGATTTGGTTCCACCTCTTACTAAGGTTAATAATTTGATTTTTGGACGAACTTGGGTGGATTCACCAGGAGAAATGGTCCTGACAAATTTAACTACTGGAGATAAAGTTGTTCTCTATTTTCAACCTTGCGGTTGGTTTGGGTATGTTGGTTCTCATTTCATCTTTCATTTTCTCAACCTTAGCTGTACTTCTATATATTGAAATCGCTATGATTGTATGAAATAATTGCCACTTTCTTTTCATGTAAGCTTGGTTGGTTAAAAAATCCTTAATTGATCTTTCTTTGCTTTCGCTTTGTACTCATTTTGAAAAGGTATTGCAGAACTTAGCATTGGAGATACACGGTGGTAGTTTCTTCTATCAGAGTATTAAGAGACCAAATAGTTTCAATTTGACTGTTGAGGTTTTGGTTCCTGCTACTTAATTTTAACCTCTAATGATGCAAATTGCAATACTAAGGAGATCTTTATTTTCATCACACAGAGGCAATGCCCCTCCCAGCTGCTTTTGATGTCTAATATATCCTTTTGATTGCAGAGCTAATAGATATGAGGTAGATGGATATGTCTATAATGCTCAAGAGGAACCCAAAATATTGATGACTGGAAAATGGAATGAGTCAATGAGCTATCAACTGTGTGATTTGGAAGGGGAACCTCTCGCTGGCACAGAACTGAAAGAGGTTTTATTTTGTAAACCTTCTGATATGCTTTTTATTGTAATGCGAAACTATATCATGTGTATGTTGCATTAATTATTCCGTCTCACTATGGAATCATGACACATCTTTCACCTTTTTTACGCTATACCAAACTATTTCTCACTATGGAATCATGACACATCTTTCACCTTTTTTACGCTATACCAAACTATTTCCTGTATGTTGATGGATTAACTATTCTGTCATGATATAGAATCACGACTCATATATTTGCAGTGATTTAAAAATTTAGATCATTGAATTGGGGTTTGGAGAATGCTAAATGATATCTTTCTTGTATGCTCTCTCAATGATTTCTTTCTGTATAGCTTTATTTATTGGACCTTAATGGGGGGAAACTTTGTGGCCCGAAATTTTAGTAGCACTCAAACATTATTCTGGGGGGTCGGGTTTTTTTCCGATTACACTCCTGTTGAGTCTTCTAATAGCACTATTCTGGGTTCTGTTTCCTTATGATCTTAAGCTTTTATCAATATCATATTTCTTTGCTTTATCTTTATGCGTTTCATGGATTTTGCCCAAGGCAAATTGAACAGTGTTATAGATTGCTTATTACTTTCTTCTTTCTAATTTTTATTATTTTTGAATTTTTACTTGCAAAAGATACTAAACAGTAAAGGTTTTTTATAGCATTTTTGTTTTATGGTTGTTAATTCTGGTTTAGTGGCGTTGGATGGAAACATGAGTGACTCGGAATGATTATGCAGGTTTGGCATCTTGCAGAAACTCCAGAAAATGACAAATTCCAGTATACTTACTTTGCACATAAAATAAATAGTTTTGACACTGCTCCAAAGAAGTTGTTAGCATCGGATTCTCGGCTGCGTCCTGATAGATTGGCACTAGAGAAAGGTGAACTCTCCAAAGCTGGTGCTGAAAAAAGCAGGTCTCTCTCTCTCTCTCTCTCTCTCTCTCTGTGCACGCACATGTTGTGTGTGTGCACATGCACACTTGATCCTACACTTGAGAATTGAGATAGTATGAACAGTTGGCAGACACTACATATCATTTCAACGAATGCTATTAAATTGTCTAGGCAAGTTTGCAATCCTGTCAAATGTGTTATCAACTCATTGATTTTCGGAAATTGAAGCATTAGAGATCCTATGAGCAACTGCTGACTCGCAGCTCCATAATGTCATTTCCCATTTGTGCCATCTTGGTGCCTGCTCGACTTTTTTCTATAATGATGCATACCTGCTCATGTTTTTGTAACCCTGCTTACCAAAATAAGTTAATAGATAAATATTCGAAGTTTTGCAACAATTAACTGGTTGTTTATGATGTAATTAATTGGAATTGTTGGTCTTTAAATAGTCGATAAGTGGAAAAGTGTTTCCTAGGTTCCCTTAGGTATATCATAGACAATATGAGTGGTTTTAAGCAAGAAAGTCGATGTACTACAATCTCTTTTAGGTATTTTTGTTATTCTAATGCCTTTACACTGTACTGTTTTCTTATGTTTCTAGTTTGGAGGAGAGGCAGAGAGCTGAAAAGAGAAATCGAGAAGAAAAGGGCGATCAGTTTACACCAAAGTGGTTTGATATAACTGATGAAATTACACCAACACCATGGGGAGATTTGGAAGTATTCCGTTATAATGGGAAGTACACTGACCATCGAACTGCTATTGATTCATCAGACGCCATTGCCATTGATTTAAAGGACGTCCAGTCTATGGAATTTAATCCATGGCAGTATGGCAACTTATCTTAGGAATGAGAGCATCCTAAATTTGTTGGAAATTGCTTTTTGTACAGCGCTATATGTGTATAGCACTGTCACAAACGTGGGGCCCCGGGAATATCTTAATTGGGGGTCTCACCTCTTGTATGTGAAAGGACTGTCAATCATATTGTCAAAATTGTTGTGCTTGTAGTAAGACTCAAATTTGTTCGGTTGATGGACGAGTTTTCGGTGTGTGCATTGTATATTTATCGAAATTTTGCTTAATAGTTTATATTAGCTTGCACTTTCTACTTTATAAATTTATTGTCTTAATTGCAACTTTTAGCGTAAATGAATGGACGCTTTGGACTATTGATGCATTGTGGATGAGAACAAAATTTATTTTTCCCACTATTGAAATTTTAATCATTTAAATATTTTCTGATATTTTATGTATTCTACTTGTGCAATAATTGATACAGCCGCCTAACCAATGACCACTCTGCGTCGGGGTTATCTTATCATTAATTGAAGTTGACGAAAAAGAGAGGTAACTACTAACAGATCAACTTGCAGTCGAATCTGCCCCCAGGGGCATGGCGTAGTAGTAAAGCAAGGGGATTCTATACGGAGCATCGCAAGTTCGAATACTCGCGGTAGTTAGAAGACAACATTTATGTTGAAAGGCAGTTGTCCTGTGGAGGCAAAGTTATGGTGCGCTTTGTCGTCCCTCCAGGGATCCTATCCGCACATCGTAAAAGGAGGTTTATATGGAAGAGAATCGCATCCCGAATGTTTGTCCCAAGTGTGTATAAGCTATGATTGCATTCGAATTTACCTGGGTAGCAAATTAGGAGGGAAGGTCGTCACTCCTCAGGATTAGCCAGACGAAGTTTGGACATTTGAGTTAAAAAAAAAAAAAAAAAACCTTGGGGTCGAATCCCACCAATTCATTTGGAAAATCGACTTATTTTTCCGTTATATATGCATAATTGCTACTTAATGATGTAGCCCATGATTGTCTTCCATTGAATTAAAATTCCTTCTTTTAAACAAAAAAAAAAAAAAAAAAAGAATAAAAATTCATTCCAACCACACATTTATACAATAACATAGGTTGTACATAGACAAAAAAAAAATTCTTATTTTTTAACTGCACATTCCTCAAAAAAAAAAAAAAATCACTACTTCAATATCATTTTTCGAAAAAAAAAAAATATATATATATTTTTAATGGAAGACAAAAAAGACACATAATTGTTCTAAATTTTCTTTAAATTGTCACAGGGTCCATGCATGTTTACTTTTTTTTGTTAAAATTGTTACACGTCTCGTTTTAAGTGTACATGTTTTTAGAAGCATCATGCAATTATAATGAAATGTTTAATACTAATTTGTTCATTTTTAAAGGTTAACTGATCCTCTAGAGCCTATCCAAAGGTTCAGGTTGGATTGTAGGAAGTGGTTGATTGTTTGTGTTTCTATGCCATTTTATGGAGATATTGAGAAATAGACAATTTTCTTATATAATAATTTTTTTCATAATGAGAATTGATATTTATTTCATTTTATTTAATTGGTCTTGTTATAGGGTAAGAAGATGGATAGAAATGTTTTGTTTTTTTTAAAAATCTAATCACTCTTTTGATTTCGGCAAAAAATTTGCATAAACATAACTCTTTCAAACAATTATTCGGAATTCTTAGAGTCACCCGTAAGGCTTGTGGAAAAAAATTATTGTCGGACTTATGCTACACGAATATAAGCCACACGATGGAAATGGGAAGTGTGGGATGTAGAAAATCACGCCATGAGAATCAACTTCCTAATGGGCCAATAAGTTAAAAGTCTCGTGCTTCAGTTTTCCCTCAAGATTATTTACACCCTCTGGTCTTTACGTATATAAAATTAAACATAGTTTATGTGCATACATGTTAGGGTTGGCAATGTGCCGAACTAGCTTGGCCGTTAGACACCAAAGCTCGGCTCGTGTCCACGAAGAAAGCTCGATTCAACCTTTTTGTGGATGAGACCGAGACGACCTAGAAGTGGTGTCATTTTTTTACAAGAAATTATTAAAATAAGTCAAAAAAGAGTTGATCCTCGAGCTCAAGACAAACTAGCTCATGAAAAAAAAAGTTGAGCTCGACTTGATCGATGATTTACTGAATACAAGCCAAAGCAATTCATGTTCGGCAAATGTTTATAATTTATTAAAAAAAATCAAATCACTTTGAGTAATGCTATTTAATGCTATTGGGGTTGCAACTTCAGTTTAAATGATGTTAATTTGACATTAAATTATAAGGAGTGTTTGCACTACTTTGTGACTAGGAGTGTTTGCAACTACGTTCAAGCCCGTTTACTCAAGAATGAAAGGCATTTCACAAGCTTCAATTCCTCGTAGCTTTAGCTTGAAAAGAAAACTATAGTAACCTTGGATAAAACTATTCTAGGTCTATTTCAATTGCTTTAATTTGACTTCCTCTCACATAGTCATATTCACTGTAGAAATCGTTCGTAGTAGTCATTGTCCCGCCTTTAAATGAGAAAACCTTCTTTTACATCCCTTATGTAAATCAATAGGAAATGCTACAACCTTCTTCTAATGATGGACGACTCCAACAGCTCAATCCTATTTCAAAAAAGAAGCAAATAATGGAAGTTTTGATCGATAGAGATAGGCACGAATGAAGCATCAAGAACAGAATATCAAAGACTTACTCACTTGAAAATCCACACTTTTCCAAACCTAGAAACGGACGGAATTCTAGGAACTTATGGGATTCGGGTGGTCCAGGGAGACCACCACGGCTCCTCTCTTCTCGAGAATCCATACATATTCATATTTCTCTTTATCGAGAAATCGAAGAAGTACAGGGATTTTCTTAGGCCATGGATAGTTCAATATACTCATCGACGCCTAATCATGAAATGTGGATCATCCCAGGCATAATGGCATAATGCATACTCAACATGCATAAAATCTCATTATAATTTAGAGATTAGATAAAAAAAAAAGTTTAATTACACATTTAGGAGGTGTTTAAGCCACAATATTTTGGCAATAATGCATTCTTGAATAGTGTACTGATGGAAAATGTGTGATTAAAAAATAAGGAAAAGTTTTTGATTTGATTGTAATATTATTTTATTGAAAAATGTGTGGTTGAAATGATGTCAAATTACTGTTTAAGAATGCATTTTTTTTAAAATAATGTGGCTCAAACATGCCCTTAATATGATCTACGACTTTTGCAAACTTATCAGCAACTCATTTCTATTAATTTATAAATTCAATAACTTATAAATCCCCCCCCCCCCCCCCCCCCCAACAAACAAAAAAAAAAAAAAACAAAACAAAACAAAAGAAGTTAAACCTTTGTCTAAATTAAGGGACTTCGTTTACGACATAAGTATGAAGAAACAATGAATTTAGCTCCCATATGAGCTCCATTAAGTTAATAATACATTTTTTCGCTCTCTTCTATTTAATCACACATTTTTTGATAAAATAATATTACACATTAAAAAAAAAATTCTTTCTTCTTCAATCACACACTCTCAAAAAAAATACTATTTCAAAAATTATAACATCAAATAATGAGGGTCAAACATGGACTTAATATCATCCCAAACAGGATGCAAGAATGTAACTCCAAATAAACGAATTTTATACCTTGTTTGAGCCCCATTTTAGGGGAGAGAATGAATTTTTGAATAGTATATTGATGAGAAATGTGTGGTTAAAAAGTAAGGAAAAGTTTTGAATTTCCTTATAATATTATTTTATTGAAAAATGTGTCGTTAAATGATGTTAAAATACTGTAGAAAAATACATTTCTTTCAAAAGAATGGAGCTCAAACAAAGATTTAACGTCTATTTTGAATTAGGGACTTCAAAAATTAACTCATACAAATCAAATTTTGATCTAATTAAAGGTATTTTATTCACAGATCAGATATCCAAAATTTTGATTGAAATGTATTTTTAAGTTGAAATGAATAATAGTAGACAGGATTTAAAATGAGTAAAGAAATTGACAACTCTTATCAATCGATTTGTTAATGTTACCGTACAAAAAGGGACGTTTAAAAGTTGACCTCAATCTCTGTATTATTGTCTATATATATGAGAGATGCTTCAAATCCTGAATTAAAAACCCGGGATTGGCTATTCATGGGGCTTGCCCCATTCAAAGTCAGGGGCTGAAATTTGCCACCTCAGCCCCGGGATTTAATCCCGGGTTCTGCAGCTTTATATATATATGCCATGTTTGATCCATATTATTTGAAAAATGTATTTTTAAACAGTAATTTGATATCATTTTAACCATATATTTTTCAATAAAATAATATTAAACTCAAATCTAAAAATTTTCCTTATTTTTTAATTACAAATTTATGATCAATATACTATTTAAAAAAATATTTTTTCCATAATAATGTGGCTCAAAGGAGGGCATATGGTGTCAACTGTACGACAAAATAGAAACTTTTTAACCTTGGACTCTAACGCAGTTACTAACTCCACTGTCCACATGCCCTGTAGCATCATTTCCGTCACTTCCGTTTATTTTTGAGATGATGCAAGAAGTAAATGGTCCAAGTCCAGTAGGGGTGAGAAAAATTTTGGTGGGACAGTCGCAGTGTCCTACTTGGTGTCACCGTCAAATGGGGAATCATCACCTCATCGAGTGGTTCACTCTCACATAATGAGATGATGCCACCTTACCGAAGTTTTTGTTCGAGTAGGGGGTCATACTAATGGCACATGGGACAAAGCTTTTATCCGACGTGGCAAGATATTGAAGTGCGTAGACGAAATATTTTTAATTTGTTGTAATATCTGAAAATAATAACACAATTATCACGGGAGTTCAAAATGAAATTACGAGACTACCGTTTTTGGGTGTGACTTGAATGGGATCTAGTAGCATCTTTATGGAGATTAAAATTAAATTTTTAGTAAATTTTGATAAAAATTGATAAAATATATGGTTGAAAAATTGTACCCTATAAAAAATGTGATTAAAATTAATTGAAGCATTTGACTTAAATTAAAATTCAAATTTTAATCCCTAATAAAAAAGGGACTTAATCTTATTCTTTCCATATAAAAAAAATAATTATTCCTATTAATTTCTTTACTAACAATGAAAATGGGACATGCTTGTTACGATCGATTTGATAGTATTATACTAAATAATCGATTTGATGGTAATATACTAAACAATAAAGAAAGTTTACACATTCACAGCAAAATAGCAATTTATTTATTTTTAATCCATACTTGTTATTCGTTCATGTCCAAACTTATACTAACCTTTTTAAGATGCAATGCGCATTTGA